CTGTTAAACGAACCTCTTCCACTGGTGGCATACAGTCGAGTGGTCGGAGATTGCTGCTGCTGCTGCTGCTGCTTGAGGGATGACAACGAGGAGAACGCCAGCGCCCCGTTAGTACCGCGGCCGAACGTACTGCCGACGCCGGCCACGGTTCCGGACAACGTGAAGCCGTTCTGCAGTTGCGGTAGCAACGGCGGTAAGAACGATGACGATGACGACGACGAAGAGGAAGTGGACGACGCGGACGTGGACGAGGAAGTGGACGACGAAGCCTTCGGATCCGGCATTGGCACTGCCGGCGACCGACAACGGGACCTTGACTGCAGCTGCAACGGATGTGGTGGCGTTTGTCTCTAAGTCTAGTTGGTCGTCGCGGCGAAAGTCGGACGAAAACGGAACAGTAGCACAACCTGTTCCACCACCTCCGGCTGCATGATACTTGACGCGCGGTCCCCGGGAGGAGATTTTCAGTGACGAGTCGGCGACCATCGGTGGTACGTTGTCCACGGCAGCGGTCATCTACAATGACCAAGACGACCACCACTAACTAAGGAGCTAGGCGGCGTCGTCACTGACTGACCTCACAATCATCGCCACTTCTTCATTTTCGCCGTTATAACGACCAACGTGGCCGGGTCCATCTCTCTTCCAGGGTATGGGCGACGGCGGAAATACTGCCCCCTGAACGGACGACGACGTTGATTTCGATTCGCTGCATATCGACTACCCTTAACAGGCGCACCTCCAGGCCCCGTAAAATTAACTGCTTCCGGCTCCTTTTGGCCCTCCACCACATCAAATTCCACTTCCTCATTATCCTCTAGGCTTCGCAGGTACTTATTCAGGTTATTCTTCGTAATGGCAGTCTGATGTACGAATATATCCTCGCTGGTATCGATACAACTGATAAATCCATAGCCATTTTTTACGTTAAACCATTTAACTTTCCCGCTGACTCCATTAGCAATGACTTTCTTTTTAATCTGCTGCTTGTTCGCCGCTGAATCATATTCGGTCTGACTCTGGCTCAGGTTTTGGTTTTCAGTATGATTTTGAACCTGAGTCGTCGGGCTCTGACG